AAATATAAAGTTCCAAGAAAGAAATAAGTCAACACACTTAATTAAACAATTACACAATTATGTACAGGGACTTATATCAACAGTGCTATAGTAGACACGTGCCACCGTCCCGTACAAAATTCCAACGATTACAACTACGATTTACAGTTTACAAAATAATTTCTAATTCCTAAAATAACTAATTTCTAACCTAATGTAATAATAACCTAACTAAACATATAATAATTTCCCTACAATATAAAAATAATATCCTATACTAACGATAACTCAAGTCTCGCCTGTCATATGTATTCCGCCAATATGGGCGGCCCACTATACAGGCGAATGAAGTTCCGTGAAAACCTAACAAGTAAACTAAATTAAATTAAATTTAAATTTCAGAACGGCAGTGAAAACACCGCCGACTCTGAATTACCCCTAATAAATAATTAAATAAACAATAATAAACTGCTAGAACTGTCCCAAAATCTCTCACTCGTAATTCGCGCACTGGTCAACAAAATGGCCAGCGCACGTGCGAGCGAGAGGGGACCAGCAAGGTAGAAAAAATATATGGAAAAAAATGTCAAAATAGCGCGAATAGCGTGAGTTCTTTCTCACTTATGACACCAATTGTCGTGAATTCGGTGTGTGTTATTCACACACCGTCACAACAAGTAGTTGTAAATGCTCTCAGCTCCTGAAATCAAAGACAAGGTGGAGGAAAATCACTCACGTGTTGTTCGTTCGGGTTCAAGATGTATAAGAGACCGCGCCAACGCGTCACAGCGATGATATCACGTAGCTCACGAGATCTCGTGTCGGCGCGGTCCACGGTCCAAGGGAGATAACTCTCCCGAAATTCACCACAGTTTTTTAAAATAACTCTGTCAATGATATGTTTCAAATTACGAACAGACAATATACTTTAAATGTACAATACTTCAACTATGACTTGTAGTTATTAGAACTAGGTAAATTCAAGCACAAACCTCTAAATAGTTCAGATGAATGCACTAGTAATTAGCTATAGGCTTACCTTACCCTTCCGAAAGTAATACTGA